TTTTGTTAGATATTTTATCATCCCTTGTTAAGCCAGTCACTGTTACATCCTAGCAAAAATCTTATGTTTTATGGCTTATTCTCTGCTCTCATTGATACAAACTATATGAGGAAAATAGAACCCTAGAGATTTAGTATGTTCTCCAGTCCCAATTACCTGCATCCACTAATTAACAATAGGGGCAGAAATGACACAAACATAAATCATTTTGTAATGATTCTACAACTTTGGGATGCATTTTGCAATTTGAGTTTAGTGATCTAGGGCAGTTCCCTTAACATCAGAAACCTGTGTTACCTCATCAGTACCAGAGATAAACTCATGTCTGAGTTACATAAAGTGTATACAACACATGTATGTACCGAATTATATATCCACTGAAGGTAAAGTCGTTTCCCTGGTCCAGTGGCTAGTGATATGTCTCATGTATTGACCCAAGCCATCTTTAAATCTTAAGTTAAAATTTAATATGTGTAATTTTTTGCTAAGTTGTAACAGACAGATAGAAAGGTAAATGTATGTGTTTTGCTATACTGTTCCAATTTTAAAGAGTTTGTCCTGTGTCTGTACTCACGTAAGGGACAGAAATATTGTTATAATAATACATGAAACAGACGTGTTTATTATTATACTCTGTCACTTTGAAATCGTCTAGGCTTCTATTAACTCCTAGGAATGTCTAAGTTAAGATCCTTGTTATACTATAATTGTTATAATTTATGAATACATAAGAATAAATATATACAGAATAAAAGAAAATGTGAGTTAGGTGATACATGAGTAGCAGATCAGCAATAAACTGATATGCATGCATCATTGTCTCTCAATAATTATAGATTCTAATTTCTCCCATCTGTATAATTTCAACCCCATAATTTTTTAAATGAATTCTGAAGGCCTAATCTTGCACAAAATATGAGTGGTATTTAAGAAAAATCTCTGAAGTGATTTGGCAGCATATCAATTCAAAATAGATATTCCTCCTGTCTCTCCCATGCTTGTCTTTTAACTTTATTGTGAAGAATTAAATAATGACCAGGGTAGTATTTATTTGAAACACCAATCAGAAATCAAAACTCCAAAGTGAGCTTTCTTAATATAGGATATTTTTCACCGAATGGAAGAATTCTCTTTGTGCAAGACTGTCATGTATGTGACAGCATCATGGTTTGGGAGTTCACACGAAGGCAGCATTGCTTGGAATGCTCACATGAGGCAGGCAAACTATTCCTTAGGAATGCTGGCAGGCAATGGGAAGAAGTCAAGGTCTGATACTGCAGTATTGGCAGTATTGATGACAAATGTCACTCACAGTAGAACAGAAGCCGTAGTGTGTTTTATGCGCAGGTGACTGTGAAATTGGATCTTGGTGGGATCTGAATGATTATATCCAAAAACTGTATGCATTTGGAGGATTATAGAATGGTAAAGGGAGCCAGATTGTGTTTCATGAAGACTTAGGTTTTCAATCCACAACCCTTCATTTGTTTTTATCACTGTTTAAGATTTTTCCATAACAGGAGCTTTATATAGAAAGTCAATATTGACACTGCATGTCATCTTCAAGGCTTAAGCAACAACAACCTTTGCTTTGACTTGTGATGGGGGAAGTCCTGTGTATTTGTCAATAAAGCCCTGTTGACCAACAGGGAACCAAGATAGGTGGGACTAGGAGTTGAGGAGGACTCTGGGTAGGAGAAACACAGAGAGTCAAGATGTAACACCATGGGGTAGGAAGCCTGGAAACTTCTCCGGTAAGAGACATACTTAGATTACAATTATGGGGTAATTACTTAAGTCAGAGCTAGCCAGTAAGAAACAAGCAAGGCCAACAGCTTCATAATTAATATAGCCTCCTGTGTGTTTATTTGGGACTGATGTGGCTCTAGACCCAGGCTGGCGGGAAGGCCTCTCTCAAGGAAAAGGTTTCTCTTTACAGACTTGCTTACAAGATCACAGCTCCTGGACAGTGGAAAGCTGCCCATTTCAGAATAATGTTTGTTTTTTGTTTGTTTTGTTTAACCTCAATGTAGACCAGAGATGAAAATAATGGCATTTTGGGTTTTCCTCCATTAATACAAACTATTTGAATCAACATTTTCCTGGTGGAAATATCAGGTTACAATATAAGAAAGATTTTTTTTGGAAAAAAAGAAACATCTTGAAAGTTGACAGACAGCTGTGAAATAAGGAAGAACACTTCTATTCAGTTAAGCTTGAAATAAAAACATGGACATTGTAGGCGGGGACTGTGTTGTGTGCCTTTATTGGTCACAACTTCCAGAAACAGTCTATCCTCCAGGAATATTCCTCTTCCAAACCACTCCATAGCTAACGTCTGATTTATCACGATTTTAAGTGGGAGGAATTGGAAGACAAGAGATTAAGGGGAAGTCCAGGATGAGCCTCAGCCCTCCACACCTAGAATCTGTAATCTTGGCAGCTGCAACTCTAAGTAACCACACAGTTTTCACTTTTTGAGTTACACAAATTTGTAGGTTCATACCATCATCCCAAAACATCCCTCCATGTTTTCTTGTGTGTGTGTGTGTGTGTGTGTGTGTGTGTGAATGTGTTCAGAATTACACATGTGTGTATACCAAGCACATGTCTCTTTACTACCTAGAACCTGGAGATCAAGGTCAGGTCATCAGACTCAGTGGCCTGGGTTCCTGTGCCTGGTGAGCCATCTTGCTGGTCCTGAATCAGCACCATTAAATATAAGGTACCAGGTTTAAAGGTACACACATGTAATCTAATACCTGAGGTGCCAAGTAAAGATTGCTGGGAAATTGAGGCTAATCAGGGCCATGTGAGATCCTATCTCAAAAATACAAAACTAAACAACAAAAAAGGCATAAGAACAGAATGAAAGCATAAAAGTAGACAGGAAGTGATGTCATAGCGTGCTCCAGCCCAGCTGCTGTATCTCCATTCTGCCTGACACGGGAGATGCATGTACTGTAAGAACATGAACTTTCTGGATGGATGGGAGAAAACTTTGCTATGTCCCACAGCTAACACATTTTCAGGATGTCTCAGCCTGCCTTTCCAACGTTGCCTCATTTCCTTTTGATCCTGCATTGGTCCTTCCCTTCAGTCATTCACCAGGACGCTTCATTAGAAACTTCTCTGAGACGTACTTAGGGTGCCCCTGGGCACCTGGAGTTGGTGGTTTTCCCCAGATGAGACTCAAGTAGTAGGCAGCATTTTATACCCTTGCTTTTGGAAGAGAGGCAGTTTTTCCCTACAGACCTGTTCTCTGACATGTTAGCCTGCCCCACAGCAAGGAGGTTTTTGCATTGACATATTCCCTCTAGATGAATAGAATCTTCCCCCAGCTAATGCTGGCTGGGAAAGTTCTTTTGTGTATCTATGAAGCTTCCCGAACAGCCACCTTTGATGTATATTTTGTTATTAGGAAAGGAAAGAAAAATCAAATACCATTTTGTTCAGGCAAACTGTGTCTCGTAGATGAGAATTATTGTTGACTGAAGGCTTTCTCAGATGTGAGCTTTGCCCTTTTCTATTAAACAAAGAGTTACACTGAGATTTCCTTTTATTTCTCCAGAATTTTATTATCTTTGATATGATAGGACATGATATTTCATCAGTAAAATGGATGAGATAACTGTCTTTCCAATCTCAATTCTCTTTTGTTTTCTAAGAAACAAGTATCATCCAAACGAAATCCTCAGTTCAGCGTCACCCTTCAAAAGGGTACCAATATTAAAAAATTTTACTTAAGATATTTTTGTACTTGGATATTAAATATTAATAAATCTATTGTTCCATTTTAGGACCAACTAGGTAGCTATTTATGAAAAGGATTTTGTCAGGCATTGATTTCATAAAGTCATGCCAAGCTGACATGCAGTATACATAATTATCTTTTTCAATACTGACTTTCTTTACAATATCTTGAAGGTTAAGATGTTTATACCTTTCAATTTCTTTTTTCTTACCTAAGATTTTTAATTGTAGAAATGTATGGGTACTGTGATAATTTGATACCTGTTTATAGTATATAACCATTAAATCAGAGAGGTTTCTATTTCCTTATCCTTAAACCCATTTAAATTTTGATTAGCACACCATTGTATATATTTGTGAGTATGATATTTCAATACATATCTAATATTTCCTGGTCAATTCAGAAATATTAACACTTTGATCTATTTCCAGTTACAGAGGTTTAATAATATATATATATATATATATATATATAGTAGTTTTACTTTTAGGGAATAAATAAAATATATGTTCTGGCTTCAAGGAAAAAAATACAGATTCTGTTCACCATGGAGACTAAACCCTTAAATGTTGATATATCTGTGATAACAGAATATCTATATTTAAGAAAATAATGTAAAGAAAGAAAAACTATAGGGGAATATGTTGCTAATTGGGGGAGATATTTAATTCATCATTAAAATCTTTAAACTGAAAAAAATCCTATTTTAATTAGGCTTAACTAGTGTCTGTAAGGCTAGAACTAGTTTCCCTATTATTCATGTTTTGTACATAGTAAATTTTTATTAAAATGAAAACATCAGTACAAAAAAAGAAAAGTATTCTTTCTCCAAGAAAAGTCAACTCAACAGAGTTCTCCTTAAACTCTGTTGCTTTGGGTTTGTTTGATAACAGAACAGAATAATTATGATCAGTAGGAATGCAAATTAATTATCTAGAGGATGTTTAACTCCTTATGAATCTGAAAAGAAGTTCTAAACGCAAATGCTCACTTAGCCAATTTCTGAGAAAACCAAATTACTTCCTAGAGACACTGGAGAAGATTCACCAACCTTCCCTTCCACATTTGGAAAAGAATTGCCCAGTGCTCACAAAGGAGAGTTGTTCTCTAGTTTCTACTTGGAGACCTTGAAATGTGCAGGCTTCATCTGATCCTGGGCCTAGAAGGGAGGGCATAGTTCCAGGTACAGAAAAAACTGATAAACTCAAAGGAGCTTCTCTTCTTAACCCTTTCTCACCCAACTTACGATGTGAAAATGCGATGAAATCCTTGATGTAGTTTTCCACAGGCACTCATTTGTGGAATGACTTCTGCGATGAACCAGTGAGTCTAACTGTTTCCACCACCTTTTTTAATGTACCATGAAATTTAGAACACCCACATGTAGGAAGGAAGAATTCCTCTGTTGATAGAAGTTTTTCATTCCACAGCTCCACATCAGAAAGGCCAGCTGTTGCTCAAATAGCGTATATTTATAGTGACAATCCAAGCTGTCCCATGGTTTTCTTGCTCACTATAGCCATCTTAGTTATGTTCTTTATAGCTGCATCATTTAGCGATACAATTGTTTGATGAGTCTCTGGACATGGTTATTTGACTGGTTGAAAGGAATTTGAGAGAGTCAAAAATATTACATCAGCCGGAGAGGCGATGGCACTTGCCTTCAATCCCAGCATTGAGGAGGCAGAAACAGGTGGCTCTCTGTGAGTTCACGGCTAGCCCAGTGTACAGAGTGACTTCTGGAACAGCCCCAGGGCTACACATGGAAACCCTGTGTTACATAGAGTAAAAATTAAAAAAAAAAAACATTAATTTTAGCACACCTTTTCCAAATGCAAGCAGTTGAAGTGGATTACAACCTATTAATACAACCTACTAATACATATTGTACTTATCAATATGCATTTGTTATTATGTTAATGATGAGCCTTAGCCCGTTGTGTTTGCAGTCGGCTTTGATGAGCTTCTATCCAGTCATGAGATTTTCTGAAGTTTAATAATACTTGGAAGAATAACTGAGCCATTTTTAGAAGGGCATTAATTGGCAACCTAATATTAGCTGATGTGTTTTAAACTAGAGATCATAGGGGTTTTCTGATTTGTGTACTAGAAACTATGTTGTAAATCAAATCCCATTGCTCCTCAATACTCCATTAATAACTTAATCATAGAATTGTTTTTCCTGGCTAGCTGCACACCAAGCGTGCCTATGTTGTGCTAAGACTATAGCTCGGTCATAGAAAACTTTCCTATCGTGTGTGAGGGCAGGTTCGAGTCTCAGCATCGTCAAATAAAGAAAACAGTATGTTGTTAAAAGTAATGAGTGACCTTGGGCTTTCTACAGATAGTTCGTTCATGTCTGCTGTCTTTTTTGCTCTCTAGAGTTTTTCCGCGAGCTGCTGGAGAATGCGGAGAAGTCCCTAAACGACATGTTTGTCCGTACCTATGGGATGCTGTACATGCAGAACTCGGAGGTGTTTCAGGACCTCTTCACTGAGCTGAAGCGATACTACACAGGGGGGAACGTCAACCTGGAGGAGATGCTCAACGACTTCTGGGCTCGGCTCCTGGAGCGCATGTTCCAGCTGATAAACCCCCAGTATCACTTCAGCGAGGACTACCTGGAGTGTGTGAGCAAGTACACCGACCAGCTGAAGCCGTTCGGGGACGTGCCACGGAAGCTCAAGATTCAGGTCACACGCGCTTTCATCGCTGCTCGCACCTTCGTCCAGGGCCTGACGGTGGGCAGGGAAGTTGCCAACCGTGTTTCCAAGGTAACAGGGGAGCGTGATGTCTCTTTAGTTGGTCTTCTTCTTTTCTCAAAAAAAATAAAAGGCCTATGAAACAAATTAAGGCAAAAATTCTCATGCCAGGAGAGTTTATCTGCCCCTAAAGGCCTTATATGTATGTCCAGGCTTAAATCTGATTGTTTTTTTTTTTTCCTTTGCACAAGAAAGAGTTTTGAGCAATCCCATACAGTTTTGGCAATTAATTCACGTAGCAGAGTTTTTCATGAGGAACACAGTATAAGGCGGCTTGCAACCGGCAAGATTGGGGCATGATAAACTCTCACGGACTGACCGGTCGACTCAGGTTCTAGTACTCCCTTGGATGAAAACCGTCTCCGAAGGTGCTTGAGGAACAGCGGGACAGGGGAGGGGCTCTTGGCATCTCTTGGTGATCAGAGTGGTGCAGCCGATTAATGCTGAGAGAGGAGCCCTTGTCCTGCACCCAGACAGCAGAGTCACTTGGGGGTGGAGGTGGCCGTCGGAGTGGATACAAAGTGTAGGTTCTGGAGAAGAGTCCCCTGGGTTGTCCTTCTTGTAATTCCACGCTGCGTGTTGTGTTGGACTTATGAAAAAGATAAATCTCTAATCTACTTTGGGGCCCTGAGGATAATGTCTGTAAACCCTTAATGCAAGCCATCACTCTGGGCCACTGACTTTCAACAGCCCACAGTTCCTCTGTTTCTGCTTAAGCTCTGCCTTGACATTTAACGGCTCTTAGGAGGTGGGCCTGCCCATTTATGAGGTCAGCCCTACAAATAGCCTAAAAGATGATTTATAGAAGAAGTAAAGGGAAAACAATATATAAAAGAAGCCTGGTATTATCGTTCTTAAAGAAGGTCATATTTGTACAGAGATTATTGTCAAATAGTATTTTTTATTGCAGGTCTGTGCCCAAGAGTCCCAGAGTTGTTTTTATCTTTTTCTTTCTTTTTTGCCCTATGGATACTACTCTGTAATATTTCTTTTCTGCTATTCCTTCTTATCTCATCATATACATCTTGGCATAAAGACAGTAAAGTCTATGCTGTTGAGGATACCGTCTCTCTGCGGCTTGACGTAAAATTCCTAACAATCCATTCTTATAAACTAACATTTTCTAAAAAGTTACAGCATATGGAGGCATGTTTTAAAAAGGTTTTTAGGGCACCAGTTTTAAGGAATGCAATGATATAAAGGTCATATAACAAAGCTGATTAATGAAATATTTTTCAATGGATATCAACAATATCTGACCTATCAAAGGAACACATTCCTCAGACATGGTTTAACAAAGACACAGTCAAGTGGAATAGCAAGGACATGTGTGATTCCACAGGGATGGTCTGTAAAATACAAACAAGTACAAGAAAAGGTATGTCCAAATGCCATGACCAAGATACATATTTGCTGTAAGAAATGAATTGAATTAAATCGCAGTTAAATCAAAAGGCAGTCACAGAGGCTTTAAGAGGGAAACCTCACCCTTGTTGAAGGAAGAAATGTCCATTTACAAAGCATGAGATGAAAAGCATGGATGAGTATGTGCACTGTTTCTGGTTGTTTCTGCTGATTGTGCCAGAATGTGAGTCACACTGGACTTATATAGCATGATCCTGGAAAATCCAAGTAGATAAGAAGGTATCTTTTTTTCCTGTAAAAGACCTAAATGAGCCAAAGTGAAATGTAGTCTAATGACTGCTTATACTTTCCCTCAGAGAATCCCACTGATAACTGCCCAGCATTCTTCCCTTGGTCTTTTGTAGGATGTTGCACTCTTGGGTATCAGTTTGTAGATTCTAACACATAACGGTTTATGACGAAGGACATTAGGAACCAACCATGAGTAGAAAGTCACCTTCAGATATCTCAAGAACTCATGAGGGTTGTATTATACAAAACCACATTCTTTCTTTCCCTAAGCAGCAACTCCAGAGGCTCAGGCTGTAGTTTGTGTATCATGTAACTGAAAACTTAAGTAGTCTATATTGACTTAACACTGAACAACTAAAACATAACACCTGTATTGGCATTCGATCTCCGATTTTTGGATACAAAGATAAGATGGTGTGTAGTTGTGTGGTTGAGAAGATAGACAGCAGTTGGGCAGATGAATGATGGATAAAACTTTATGTTCAAAGAATCTGTGAAATTACTTTTATCAATTTTATCAGTTAATTCATAACTCAAAGATTTTCACTTTTTCCATAATTTCCAGAATTTGTATAGTAATTAGAAATGCATCCATTAGATCTATGACGGTTTTCCAACTACTTTGTAGACCAAGACGAAGTATGATAAAGGTTAAATATATGCTGAGAGGAGAAGAAAGAATTAAGTAAGGTTGGTGTCCAAGCCCACTACAAATCAGGATGTCCACCTGTTCTACAAATGGAGAGATTTAGAGTTGGTGGCATGGTGACGAAAGTTTAGAGGATTCAAGGAAAGTTCAAAGGCAGATGTCAGCCACTCTCATCATTGTTTTTTGGGGAGTTTGGTTCCCTTCAATTTCTCCCTTTATTTCAGTGACAATTTAAGTCTTCGAAAGCATCATTAATAGCTTCTAATTAATTGTTTTGACTGGAAAATGTGCTTCTTCGACAAAACACAGCAGTACAAGACAAATGTTTTGACAGAACATAAGAGGGAAATTCCATTCTTAAAAGTGGAAGATAAATTTGTGAGCCTCACCAGAATTATTTTTTAAACTTGGGCCTGCTGTCTTATGGATACAAATGATGCATTTTCTAGCCTTAAAATGGGGAGATAATATTTTGTGAGTACAGCCAAATCTCTCCATGAAGCATTGAATGATTCTCTAATGAATCGCTACGATGGGTGAGCTAGGATGTAGTTTTTGTGTGAATTACCATTTTTTGAGTATGCCTAGAGTTGTGCACCATGGAGAATGAGGATCTTTCATACTTTTGTAGAATGAGTGCAACACCCATGCTTTAGTTAAACAAATTGAAAACACCTGTCTAGTTGAATGCATCCATACCCTCTGACTGCAGTTCATCCCTACAGTGAAGGTGCTCGCGTCCAAGTCGACATGTAGAGGGATTTTCTAAGAAGCATTTTTGAACAAAAAAAATGCAGCTAGAAACATCTAAATTGCCCCACCTAGACTGTATCAACAGTGAATCTCTCCACACTATGCAGTCCTTTGGAGCACAAATGTGAACTATACCTACTCAACGTTTGGATCTCACAAAGTTTATTTTCAAGAAGAAAACACATGAATCACCAAAGTTGATTCATTGCTTATGTGAAGCTCAAACAATGTGAGGATAAGCAATACTACTTGGGTGTTAAAAGAAGCTTTTTCTTTGCTAGCCGCTTTGGTTTATCCCCCGCCAGTCACCTGGGCTCTGCCGCGCCAGCCTGGTTCTAGATCTGCATGAGTCCCAAATAAACACACAGGAGGCTATATTAATTATGAAGCTGTTGGCCTTGCTTGTCCCTTACTGGCTAGCTCTGCCTTAAGTAATTACCCCATAATTGTTAATCTAAGTATGTTTCTTACCGGAGAATAGTTCCAGGCTTCCTATCCCCAATGGCGTTACATGTTGACTCTCTTGTGTTTCTCCTACCCAGAGTTCTCCTGGACTCCTAGTCCCTCCCATCTTGGTTCCCTATAGGCTCAACAGTACTTTATTGACATAAGACTTCCCCAACACTTGGGAATGTCCAAAAAATTAAACCCACGTGGTAAACTCAGGAACTTCGGGCTAAAAATGAAAATGGCACAGTGGTATAAATGATGCTGAGATGCCCAGTCAGCTAAGGCAGAGTGGGGCTTTTGAAGTCATTGCTCGCTGTCTTTAAGCTGGATACTAGCTGCGTAGGGCCAGAGGGGCATCTGCAGGCAAAGCTCTAAAGGTGAATTACCAACCAGCTTCGACAATGTAGTATTGACTGCATTAAGCAGCAGATGCAGTCTGTTTCTCATCGTTTAAACTCTACTAAAGAGCCATTGTTATCCTCTCTTTGTGTGCACCCATGGGTGAGCAGAAACATGGATGCTAACAGATAGTCTAAGGGCTTTTCAGAGAGCACACATTAGGCAGAGTTCCCTAAAGGGATCTAAACTGTGTGCCTGCTCACATGAAGTTTCTAGCAGCTATCACAGAGACAAATGTGGGAATCACTCTAGGGTTGGGAATTAGCTCGGTGGTAGAGAGCTTGCCCAGGAAAAGCAAGGCCCTGGGTTTGGTCCTCAGGGAAGAAAAAGGGGGAGAAGGGCAGGGAGAGGAAGCTGTAAAACAGCTGTAGTTTCCTGAACATCAGAAAAATGGTAGATTATTGTCTTCATCTGTCTGAGAGTCTAAGAGCCAGAAGTTGGGACCTGCCAGGGTCAGGGTAAGAAGAGTCTTGTTCCCAAGCTTTTCTACTCACGGTTGTTTCCTTCCCTCCTCATAGTGAATGAAACACTGGAGATGGATTCAGTGGGAAGAAAGGTGCCCATTTTAATGGAATTATATCATGACTCAAGCAGAAGTTATTAAAATCAGATGTAGCTCAAAGAAGAACAAGAAGGAAGGACATAGCTTTGGATGGATTGGAAATTAATGGTTTCATTGACCCCATTCTTTTCTTTCTTTCTTTTTAACTTGGTCACTTTCCAAATTCATATCTCTAGGCTATACATCTTTCAAGGAAATCTTAAAATTAGTAAGGGATTTAAATGATTTTAGAAGAAGCAATCAAGTTCTTTTAATCAAGACCCATCCTTTTCCCTTACTTCTCTAGACTCCGGTCTAGTCTGCCTCATTTGCTATTAGTTTTCAGAGGAGAATTCCATCTCACGACACTTAGATTTCCTTCTTCTCTTGTGATTTCCAGAGCTAGTTACAAAATCTGGGACATAGAAAAATCATACCTTTTCAACAAATCATTTTATATAAGTCACTTTGATGCTATCTATGTTGCTTAGTATTTACGACATTGTTTGGAGAAAGGATCACTTGGAGCCTGGGCAGTTTTCCTACTTGCTATATAGATGAGGG